GTCGCGCGAAGTGTTTAAGGAGCTTCCCGGGCCAGTTTGTTGTACCAAAGGATGTTTCACAATGACGCTTGGAGATTTGAGAGGATGTCTTTCAATGGTTTGTTATTGCAAAGGAGCAAATGCAGATGTTTGGGTGATGAATGAGTTTGGAGATGGAGAATCTTGGTCTAAACTCTTGAGCATTCCCGGTTTGACTGAGTTTTTTCGACCGCTATGGATCTCAAACGATATGGTGGTTTTGTTGGAGTTTAGATCCGGTTTAGCTCTCTATAACTGTAGCAATGGGAGGTTTCAGTATCCAGTTTCAGACAGCTTAGATAGTTGTCGAGACGCCAAAGTTTATGTCAAGACAATGGTTTCTCCAAATGATCTTTGACCTCAAAGATTGGTTTCGATTCGATATAAAAACAATAGTACTAATCAAAAATGTTAACTCTGGATTTGGTTCAGTTTCTATGCACCAAATATGTTTTTATACATCTACTTAGAAATATGTTTTTGTTTTTGTTCTTTTTATTCGTAAAATTACATTCTCATGTGGGAAAACCAAATAAAAAAGTAATCAATCAAATACTCCTAACAAAATCCTCCCCATACCAACAACACGTCCTTTGTGGTTAGATATATTTTTGTTTGCTCGTGGTTACGTACAGGGAGGGAAAATCTGGGCCGTTAGATCAAACCGTTGGATAATGAAAACCCGAGGAGGCTATTTTTCCGGGCTAGAGCTCCGACCGGATCCTGAATTGGTAAAGACAGGAGTGTCTCTGGGTATAGAGACAGAGCCACGACCACTTCCACTTGTACTTCCACTGTTTCCCATATCTTTCGTCTTATGAAGCAGAAATGTTCCTGACAATATTGTCACAAAACCGCACAACTCTGTCGCAATCTTTAACCCGCTCTGCGAAGCCCAATCCTGTAAACATGCGGAGGAATCGTTGAGAGCTTAAGCAGATGGAATTTACTTAGGAGAGAAGAGAAGAAAATAGAGGACTTTGACCTTGAACATGATCATGCTAGCTATGATGGTGAAAGTTGTGAACATAACGTAGTAAACCGGAGAAATAACCGCCGTGTTGAATGTATCCAATGCCTTTGCCAATACAAAGAGAAGCTCAGAAACAGATGAGCACAAATGAATACGAAAGGCGATATCGGTGGAATTTATAAGTTTTTTGTTTACCTTGTTCAAGTAGTTGATTTGCAAGATGCAGCAAATGGTAACTACTAGAATGAAAATCCACGCGTGGAAGTACTTGAACTGATTCATCCCTGAAAATGTCAGCTTTATGGCAATGGCCACAGCTTTAACACTCATAACCTAAGGCATAAGAGAAACTTAGCAAACAACTACCTTTTGAAGCTGTAACAGAGAAAGAGAGAGCTCAAGAGAAAAAGGATGAAAAACTTACAGTAAGAGATCCCATTAATGAACAGATTCCGACATATACTATCATATGAGTCTTCCCATAGCGCGGTTCATAGTAGAAGATCAGTACAAGTACCACAATCAAGATCACAGCAGAATACACAAGGAAACCTATTTAAACAGAAAATTTCATAACTTTGCATCAGTCTTGCTAGAATCGATTGCACGCCAAAACTTGTGTTTATGATGCTGTGGAAAAATAATCATATATACCTGGTTCGATGGCAAGCTTCCATACTTGCTTGACTGATTCTATTTTCTGCTCATGTGGGGCATGTAAGACTATAGTTGTCGACCCAACAACACAGAGAACGCAACCAAGCACCCCGAATATATGTAATTTCTCTTGCAAAATAAAATGCGCGAGCACTGCGCTGCACATAAACAAGTGTTTTTCGTTTTCAATACGACCATCATTAGTCTATAATCTATGATGCAAAGTTTTCAAACAATAAGAGTACCTGAATATAATACTTAAAGCTCCCAAAGGTGTTACTAGAATAGCTGGTGCAAATGCATAGGCTGCAAAATTGGCTACTTCCCCAACGATCACTAAATTAAGAGAACCAAACACACATTTTTAGTCAACCATATACCAAACCAATTCAACAGAATCTTGATTTTCTATCAAACATTTGACAAGAACTTACTAGTTATCATTCCAGCCCACCACCATGGTTCATATAAGTATCCGTGTCCTCCTTCGCCTGATCGCGTAGATTTAACATTTAAACTAATCAGACTCAAATTGAAGTCTTGATTCAAGAACACAAAAAGAAGCTCAAATGATTCAAGAAAAACCTGCACGGACTCCGCTTGCACCGGCCTTCTTGAGACCTTTTTTCTTGATGATGAAGCTAGATCCAATAAAAATACTTGAAGAGACTGCTAAAATAAGTCCATTTATGTTATCAGGTGACATCTGATCCATCTTAGCTTATTTTGTTTATATATAAGTAAGATGAATCAGCCTGAATTATTAAACTCCAAATTTCAAAGAGATTCTTGCATCTGAAAGAAAAAAAACACACACAAAACACAGATTATGAACATGATCAAAAAGATTAGCATCATATAAATTCAAATCATAACTGATTACTTTAATAATTAGCTCATCAACCAAAAAAAAAACATAGAAAAATATTAAAAATTTCCAGTGACTAAAACAATGGCAGAAGAGACAAATATAGAAACCCAGGAAGAAAATAGAATCAAATCGAAATTTCAGAAGG